GAAATACATTCCACCTTCTTGGATCAAAAGACTTCATGTTAATATGGCTATACTCCCCAAATTGGTCAACAGATTCAATGCAATCCCTACCAAAATCCCAGCTGTCTTTTTTTGTAGACACTGCCAAGCTGGTCCCAAAATTCATATGGAAACTCAAGGGACCCAGAATAGCCAAAACAATCTTAAAAAAGAACAAGTTGAAGGACTCACTTCCTGATTTCAAAACTTAATACAAAGCTGCAGTAATCAAGGCAGTGTGGTAATGGCTTAAGGGCAGACATACATATCAATGGAACAGAATTGAGAGTTCAGAAATAAACCCAAACATCTATGGTCAACTGATTTTTGACAAAGGGGCAGAGAGAATTCAACAGGAAAAGAACAGTCTTTTCAACAAATAGTGCTGGGACAACTGGATATCCACATGCAAAAGAATGAATCTGGACCTCTACCTCACACCATAAACAAAAATTAACTCAAAATGGATCACAGACCTAAATGCAAGAGCTAAAACTATAAAACTTTTAGAAGAAAATAAAAAGTAATTCTTCATGATCTTATATTAGGCAGTGATTTCTTATGTACGACACCAAAAGAACAATAAAAGACAGAGAATTCTCATTTTCTGGAAGTTACCACATATACACGTTAAATAAATTTGATAACTCTACTCTTATAAAAAAAAAAAAAAAAAGAGAAGACAGACAAGCAGTATGTATTAGAAATATGGGGCTTTGGTTAATAGGGGGCTCAGTGTTGGCTGTGGCACAATTTTGACACTAAGTAATCTCAGGCCGTGTTAATGTATCAGTGCTTCCTGAGGCATATTCCATGGGCCATTCATTCTCTGAATTATTAATAGGTTTTATGAGGGGAAAGAATTTTAGGGTCCAATACGTTTGTGAAATGATATTTCAGTTAGAGTTATTCAAGATTTCAGGGCTTTAATGTCCTAAATGAATTCCAAGAGAAGGATAGAATATGAAGTACTTTCTCATTTCCCCACAGACACCTTCTTTCCAAGGAGTATCTAACTGTTCGGCAGGACACATTTTGGGAAACGCAGTGAGAAAACTACAGTCTGTAAAAAGAAAGGAATGATGACCTTGCTTTTGGTCAGACCCCAGCTGGGTTGTGATGGAGTCAGGCACCAGTTTCAGCGGGGATTGCTGACGTGCAGAGCAGTCAAGACAAGGTCAGATTTCTGGTTGAAAACCAACTCATGTCAGAAACGGCTAAAAGGATAGAGGTTATTTGGCCAGGAGAAGAGAAGACTTGGGAAGAATAAGACAAATGGTATTAAAATATTTGAAAGTTTGTCATGTAGACCTAACATCAGTGGACAGGAAAATAACTTTTAAATCATTGTTAGAATACATTTCCAGTCTTTAAAATTATTCTAAATGTTCCAAATTTCCAGTCACTAGCAGTTCCAAAACGACCACCTTGGAGAAGATGAGATTGTGAATTCCCAAGGATGCCGGGACGTCATCTGGGACAACCCATCTGGGAAATGCCGAGGGGACTCAGTGTCATGTGGGGACTTGGGTCAGATGACCTCTGCGGACCTTTTCAGTGCTGAGACTCTATGATTAATTTGTGTCTATTCTTGCTCCAATATTTTTTTTTTTTTTAACCTGGGTAAAATAATGACAGCATTTCCTTCTTTACCTAATCTCTGTTTCTTCCCTATTAATGAGCTAGATTTTATCATTTGGGTGATCATCCGCATAATTATCATTACTCTTCAAATACTAAAGAAATCCACAGGGAAATACTCACATTAAAAGTTTTCTTGAGTACTTCAGTCTGGATTTTATCAAACAGCTCAAGGTCCTTTTCTTCTACCATCTTATCCCGATAAACTCGATTTGATTCATGCAGATACAGTTTTACTAGGTCTTGTGTCGATTTCACACATTCCACTGAGCAGAAGAGAATACCCTTCAAGGAGAACAGACAAAAATATATATATATATATAAAACAATTAGGAAGTACAACAGCTAGGAGAACTTTCTGGAGCATGTTGCCCATCCTGGGTGGATGCTGGGGGATCGTCTCACTACAGAGTACATCATTCTAGTGAAGGGAGCACTTAGAAAGTTGAGAGGGAGCTTGTGGAGAAAGACCCAGGTACTGGAGGCAGACAGACCTGACCTCAAATACTGTCACGGCCGCACAGCAACTATGTGACTTTGGGCAAGGAGTGTGACATCTCTGAACCACGGTGTGCTCATTTTTCAAACAGGAATAACAAAATTGACTTTCTGAAGTTGTCCAAATAAATCAAATTAATATGCCCATCAAACTAGTATTGCGCATCTCACATACTCAATACATTGAAATTATCCTTTTATGTTTGTCATAAAAAAACAACTGCAACAGCTGTAATTTATTGAAGCCAATTATGTGACTAGATGCTTTGTCAGACAAAGCTCATTTAATCCTCATAGTGATCCTATGAAACCATTTTCACTAGATCCTCTTTGTATAATGTGGAGATTGGGATTCAGAAAGACAGAAAACATGCCCAATGTCAAACAGTAAGTTGCCTTACTTCGAAACCACAACACTTTGAAACCAGGTCTTCCCAACCTTAGTGCCTGGCATTTTAACCACTACATTTCAAGTTGCCACAGTGATGAGAGAGGTGGCTATATTTCAATGTCACAAGTGCTGTTTGGAAACTGATTTAGGTCTATGTACAATCAGGACTACGACAAAGGGCTGGCATGAACCTTGACAGGTCAGCAACCCATTTATGCATCTCCAGTTGGCTCCCCCTTCCTGTGCACCCCAGGGGTGGTCCCAAATATTTACCAACTGTTTCAAATTTTTCTGTCACTATTAGCCAATGTCCTGGCCTCCTTTTCTACTGAAATTTGGAGACCACCAATATTAGAGCGCAAAAACCTGGGCAAGTCCGACAACTTCAAACTCATCTACGTCTGTGTTTGCTCGCCTGGTTTTCCTTCTTGTCCTACAGGAAAAGAGGTCCTTGAACGGTTCTTCATTCCTCACTGCATAATGCTCAGATTCGTCAGCATGGCATAAAGGTCTGGTCACAACGTGACGACATTCTTCTTCCTCACGATTGCTCTTACCACTAACTCCCGTAAAATCTAGACTCTAGTTTCACAAAATTCAAATTATTTTCTGATCCTGCACCCTTTCCGTGCCCTCATGCCTTTTGCTTTGCTTGCTATGCCCATAGTTCAAGATCTAGTTCAACTGATAGCTCTTGTTGAAGTCTTCTAAGACAGCTCTCCCCTCCAGCAAGGCCTCCTGTAGCCCTTTGTATATAAATCTCTATTATAGAAGAATTATTAGTTTCTCAAATTATTATTTTTTTGTGCTGGTTTGTTTCTTCCAGGTCATGGCAAGCGTCTCAAAGGCAGGGAAGTCTACAGAGTTTATTTTGGTTCTAGTTTATTTTTATCGTTGTATTGCTTGTACCGCGTAAGTTCTAAGAGTTGCGGATAGTTTCTCAATTTAAACAGCAGAAGACACCTTCAAAGTGCTGAAAGAAAATAGCTGCCGATCAAGAATTCCAAACCTCCCCTCAAAATCCTTAAGAAATAAATATATTTTTAGTCAAATAAAAACTGAGAGATACTTGTCTAGCAGATATGAACTAAAGTAAATGCTAAAAGGAGTTCTTCAGGCAGAATGAAAATGATTCTAGGTAGGTGAAAAACAGAAAAGAGCAATGGAAATGGGAATATATAGGTAAATTTAAATAAATGCTGATGTACTAATACAAAAATATCAGTGCATGTGGATTTTCAATATACATAGAATCAAAATAAATAACAGTACAAAACTTGAAGAGAGGCAAATTGTTCCCAGATCCTTGCATTTTATGGCAATTAATAAATGTACTAATTTATAAAAGGCAAAATATAAAATGATACATCTGGTAACCATACATGAATAGTAAAAATATGTATAATATGCTAAAACAAAATAAAATAAAGTGATAAAAACATACAATTAGTTTGATGGAATACAAGAAGAGGGAAGGAAACAGAATAGGTAAGATACACTGAAAACTAATCATATGAGTAGATTTAATCCCAAATATATTATTATATAAAATAACATGAATGAACTAAACATTGTAATTAAAAGACAATGATTGTCAGGCTGGATTTTAAAAACCCAACTATATGCTGCTTATAAGAGATACAGTATACTTTAAATATAAGAGTATGGAAAAGCTGAGCCTCAGAAAATGAAAGTGATATATCAGGAAGACACTGACTAGGAGAACATGGAGCGGTCATGCTACCGTCATGCAAAGTCAACTTTAAAGCAAGGGCCATTTTTAAAGATGAAGACGTACATTTGATAAATAAGAGAAAGGTTGGTCCACTAGGGAAATATAACAAATCTAAATTTGTATGCACTTAATAACATAGCTTCAAAATCTAGAAAGTGAACGTGACAGAAATTAAAGGAGAAATAGACGTGTCCATAATCACAGTAGGAGATTTTACTGTATCTTTCCCAGAAACCAACAGAATAAGCAGATAAAAAACCCAATATGGAAAGAAATTTTAAACAAAATGATTTATAAGTTTGTTCTCATTGAAATATTGATAAAACTACACTCAACATCGTATCTTGGTCCATAGAGCAAATCTCAACAAATTTCAAAGAAATACAATCATATAGAGTATGTTTTCTGACAACAGTGAAATTATGCTGGGCATTAATAAAAGAAAGATAGTTTCACCAGTAAATTCTTCCAACATTTAAAGGAAGACATAATACAATGTTTTACAAAATCTTCTAGAAAATAGAAAAAGAGGGAACAATTCCCAAAGTTTTTTTCTTTTTTGGAGGGAGGGTCTCACTATGTCTCCCGGGCTAGGGTGCAGTTGCAGCATCAAACTCCTGGGCTCAAGCGATCATCTAGCCTCAGCCTCTCCAGTAGCTGTAGGCTAATTGTTAAATTTTTTGTAGAGATGGAGTCTTGCTATGTTGCCCAGGCTAGTCCTGAACTACTGGCCTCAAGGCTTTTGGCCTTCCAAAAGCCTTGGATTACAGGCATGAGCCACCATGCCTGGCCAACTTTCCAAAGTATTAATATTTTATGAGGACTTTATAATCTTAGAATACTAGAGAAAGGAAAATTATAAGACAATCTCATGAATGTAAAAATTATATAGAAAAAATTAGCAAATTGAACACAAGAAAATATAAAAAGCACAACATGCAACCACCAAGCTGAGTTGACTCCCGGTATGCAAGGTTGATCTAACATTTAAAAATAATCAGTGTAATGTATCACGTTACCAGAATAAAGAAGAAAAAATGATATAATTATTTCAGCAGCAGTAGAAAAATCATTTGTTACGTTTCAACACATATTCATGATTAAAACTCTTAGTAAACCATAGACAGAAAGAAATTTCCTTAATCAGGCAAAAGGCACCCACAAAAACCTGTAGTAAGCATCTTATTTAATGACAAATTATTAAAAGCCTTTCGCTCTAAATTTAGGAATGTAACAAAATGTCCATCAGAAAGCGTTGTTACGAGTGTTAAATTTCAGGTTGTATATGTGACAAGGACACTGTCCAAGGCAGGGGCTAAGGCTGGGTTGCTTCTGGTAAAAGGAACTTCACCGACTCTTCTCCCTTTACTTCTGCCACTTATGAGCAGTGCAAATTTGATCAAACCACTTTAACTCCTTTTGACCATTTGGAAAATGCAGATAGTAACAGCCCAAGTTCATAAAGTTGTAGTGAGATTTAAGACCAGCCTAGATGTGTTCTTAGGTTTTGTCATGCTGTGGGGCTCAGTGCCTCCACCTTCAGGGGAAGCCTTCCTGGTGCATAGCTCTTGGGCCTCTGAACCAGGGTTTAGTAGGTTTCTGTTCTCTAAAGCCAAGAGTTCCAGCTGGAAATAGCTGAGCCAATGTCCTCAGGGTCTAGATGTTTGCTCCCTGGAGTCCTATCTGCACAGGCAGTGCCCTGGGCAACTAAGTCCAACTACACGTGCTCCACCTGGAAGGTGATGTCACTTCCTGGTCACTTCACTTTTACTTAGGGGTGTGGCCTCAGCTTGGTGTAACAGGCATCCTTCTCTAAATAATAACTCAGTGCTATCTCTCTGAGGGGTCTCTCTGAAAAGGAGTTTCTGCAGATTCTTGTCCAGGACGGGAGAGTTTGGACTCTGCTATGTGAGGACACTCTACCTGACCACGAGGAAGAAAGCACCTGGGTTTCCTTGATTGCCCTTTGGAGGTTTTTTTTTTTTGAGGCAGGGTCTCACTTCGTTGCCTGGGCATGAGGGCAGTGGCATGATCATAGCAACCTCTAACTCCTGGGCTCAAGTGATCGAGGTATAATAATACCTCGGACTCCCAAGTATAATAACTGGGAATACAGGCACGTGTCACCATGCCCAGTTAATTTTTCTATTTTTGGTAGAGACAGAGTCTTGCTATGTTGCTCAGGCTTGTCTTGAACTCCTGACCTTAAGCAATTCTCCCACCTAGGCCTCCCAAAGTGCTAGGATTACAGGCGTGAGCCACCACACCCAGTGCCCTCTGGAGGTTTTGATAGTGATGGATCAAGCAATGGGCAGAGATAGGCTCTTACTATTCCAATAAACCATTGGAAGGATCTGAAATGGATTTGGCCTAGAAATGAACCTGGAATTTTTAGGACTGAGGCCATCCCAGGGGCTGGCAGAGGGCGTCTTAGGAATAGACAATGTGGCTTCTCGAGGAAGCAGAGGTATCTTGCGTGGTTTGGGGGATATCCTTTTTCATCCCAAGAACAACAGGTGTACCTCCTGGGGATCTAAAATAGTTTTCTCTTTCTTTCTTTTGGGACATTTTCCTTCCCAGGCATACTGGAATCATTACAGAACATTATGTCCAAGATGCAGAGCCTTCTTCAGCCAAAAGGAATCAACTCAGAAATGCATCCTGCTTACTGAGAAATAATTTAATTTTCAAATGAAACTCTATTTTGTTGAGGCCCTTCCTCATGGAGCCCACGGCACTCTGTGGCCAGTCTGTTTATGTTCATGATTCCATATGCACTGTGCCTCTGCCTTTGCCTAAGAGTTTCGCATTAACTATTTATGTTATTAAAAATGGGAGCATCTGGATCATGACTCAACCTTCTAGGGTGTCTCGCAGCAGAGGAACTCACCTGGAAAATGTTGGCAAAATCTCTGAGGTTGAAGATATAGTGGAATTTGATTGCTGTGGGTAGGAAGGTGGTAGTGATTTTCTGGTGGAAGGCAAGAGCCAGACTGATGAGCGAGGGGATGGATTTCTGCAGGGATGCTGGGAAGTTTCCAAGCTTCAGATGGTGAGTCAGGATGGTGCTGTAGATGGAGGACAGAGCATCTGCTCCCGGGAAGGAGAGGACGAACACGCAGAAGTGACGCTGCACAGGGAGACAGAGGCACGTGGAGGAGGCATGAGCTACACACCCTTGATCCCAGAGCAGAAATCACCTCTTCTGGATATGCATAAAATAATGAAGAGTCCTTATAGGGCCTTCAGGGCTGTATTTTGGTCACATTCCTCATGCCGCACCCAAATTTAGGTTGAACCTAAAATGACTGGGGGAATAATGGGCTTTGGACCTTTGGTCAAAGACAGCAGCATTGAGGAACAGGGAGAGAGCTGGACTTGGGCTCAGAGAATCTGAGTCCAAATCTGAATTTGATTTTTGTGTCCATACGAACTTGGGAAGGTCATTTTGTCTCTATGAATTTTCTTTATCTGAAGAATGAGGGAATTGATTCAGATGAACTCTATGACCTTTTCCACCTATAAAAGCTTTGCGACTCTGGGTCTAGGAGTTTCTAATTCCCCTAGAAATGCAGGTGGGCATTCTATCAGATCTACCATTCTGAGAGGCTGTAGTGGGGGAAGGCCAGTTGTTACTTACAATCAGAGCCATCAGCTCTGGTTAGGTAGTATTGGGACCCAAGTACCATGGTTCCTCCCATACCTGGAGCCGTGGGTTGATGGTGAAGCTGCCTGCAGTGGGGTTCATACAGGAAACATACTGTACATTCATGATCTCCTTCAGGGACAGCTTGTTCCGATCATACCTGGAATAGCCGGAAACCACGGGTGAAAGGTGTGTGAGTGCTTTGTCAAAGTGATGTAGGATGAGCCCTAATGCTCAAGTGTTTGGGTAATAAAAAACAAAGTCTAGGTCCACTGGTAGAGATTGAGAGGAGACAAGAGCCTAGGACAAATTCCGAGGGGCCCACTATCTATGGAAATAGCACAGGAAGAGACCACAAGGATGGACTAAAAGGTAAGAGAAACATCAGGGCACCCCAGGAGGCAAAGGAAGCCAGTATTTGCAAAAGGAAAGGGTGGTCGCCCACATCAGGGGCTGCAGAGAGAATAAGAAAGGTAGTGACCCCAAAGAGTCCCTTGGATTTTGCAATAATGATGCAGTTAGTAGTTTAGGAGGAATAAGGGGAATAGAAATCAAATCATGGTGGATTGAGAAATGAGTAGGAGATGAGGGAGTGGGGACGGAATAGAGAGATTTGGTTCTCTAGGGGGAGTGAGACAGAACAGGAACTGGAAAATGATTGTCTTTAACACAGTAGAAGAAACTCATGCAAGTTTAAATGACGTGAAAGAGCCAACGAGGAGATGGGGAGACCAACCAAAGAAGTGAGGATGTCAGGAGAGGGAGAGAGCAGAACCAGGATGCTGGTGGGGATTGAGCCATAGGTGAGATGTAACAGGAGGACACAGAAAGGGACCTGTGTGGGGGAAGCAAGTTACATAAGTGCGGAAGCAGGGATGGAGGTGGCATCTGTGCTCTGACGCAAAGCCGTCGGCGGAGGTGGGGTGGGAAGTTTGAGGAGAGAGTAGATGGTAAGAAATAGCCATTTCTGAGAGTGGACATGTGGACGGACTAAGGCAATATGGCAAGAGTTTCCAGGAAGTTTCTACTTCCCAGTTAAGGTTTGTGACCACGAATCTAAAGTAAAACTAGTTAGCTTGACTCTGACTTTGCCCGGGAAGTTCCACTCCTCAAATGCCGGTGTGGAGATTATGGATGGTTGCATGTGTCAGGCATCCAATAGAGACTTCAGGAAGGAAATGAAAGGCAAGGCAAGTTAACCAATAATCCCTCTCTCTGAATTCTATCTTCTCACTCTTTCTCCGCGGCAGATTCCGTGCGAGGTAGGAAGGTGAGCTGGCATCTCGAATCAATGACTTACTTTTGTTTTTCCTGGCAAGTTCAGACCATCTGCCATTAGAAGCCTTGCTGTTGCAAGAGACACTACCAGACCCTGTCAGTTGCTCCGAAGACGCCAAGGCTGCAAAGGTGTGCAGACACCTGTGTACTCTACAGGGGGTAGGTGTTAGTATTGAAACACCTTGCAGTGTGGTGGGGCGGAGCGGGGAGTGTTAATTCTGCTTTGGGGCTTAGAGGAGGCTTCTGGAGAGGTGACTTTTGAGATGAGTCTTCAAGAAAAAAGTGGGCTTTTTTTCCTAAGATGGGAGCTCAGTACCTTCTCTGGCCAAACTTTTCACGTGGATATTAATGCCCCCACCTGAAAGCACTGCAGGACACAGAAAATAGCATGGGGGCGTGGTCACCACGGGGATTCTCATCTGGCACCAGAGCTAAGCTGGGGTTTGCAATTCCAGCAGGGTGGGCTCGGCTGTCAGCCCTGCCTCAGGCTTTGCCCCAGCCCAGTCCCCTCACCAGTGGCCGTAGTCCAGGTGCTGCCTGATGACGGTGTGGGGCTGCACTGTCCCGTAGGCATCCACCTCAGGCATGTTCATGTCATCGATGAAATAGACGAGCTTCTTGTTGCCTGGAGGGCCATAATTTCTTCCCGCCTTCTTTTCTAGAGGCTTCTCCAGGACAGCTGAGGGGAGATCCAAGTAGTGAGGACCTCGGAGGGCAGTACTAAGACAGCACAGATGTCAAGGTGCTGCCTGCCTGGGTGTGTGTGTGTGTGTGTGTGTGTGTGTGTGCAAACAACAGCAACAACGACAACAACAGCTATTACCAGATTCAGGTTATAGGACCAGAAAGTAACGTTGAAATTACTAGGCAATAATGGTGACAGTACATGCTAGGCACTGAGTATTCTCACTATGTGCACCATGCTGGGTTTTACAAACATTAATTATCTCATTGAATCCTGTAACATTGCTGAGAGATTAGTATTACCTATTTTACAGATGAGGGAACTGAGGCTCAGAAGAACTAAGAACTTTACTAAGGAAGATTACAAACCAGAGCAGTTAAACCTAAAAGCCTAAGCTCCTTGTGTTACATGGTGGTCCCAATTTTGTTTATAGACTAGAAAGCGAAGAGTCCTCCACCCCATGGAAATCTGCAAGTAACTGGATCCTGGGTGGATCTGCCCTCTCTATCTAAGGCAGCAAAGGTACATAAAGGCTGAGGCTCCCATCCCAGGGCTGGGCAGAGGCCCCTTTCACTTGGAGGCTATACAAGAGGAATCACTGGATATTTTGCCAGCAATGTTCCCAGAGAGTTCATCTTGTAGGGTCTTCCTTGATGGGGAGTAGGAAAAATAGCCTCAGAGAATTTCCCAGATGCTTCCAATGTCCTGAACGGCTCCCTCTCCTGCCTTCAGGTTTTCTAGCCCCTACTGGAGCATCCAAGTGCCTTTCTGGAGACTAAGCACGGAGACTCCCTTCTGGAGTTGATTCGATTCTTCAATTATCAAGCCAAAGGGAAGGAATCAAACAGCATAGTTCCCCAGCATGACAGGGCTTGTTTAGAACAAACTTAAGTAATAGGGTGGAGACATATGTATTTTTTTTTCAGTAGAGCAATTAAATATTTATGGATTGCAAGAACCAACACTCCCTATTACAGCTGGAAGCTCTAAGAACCATCTGATTTCTTCTCTTGAAAAGCAAGTTTGTAAACAAGCAGAAAGTGTCAACAGATATATGGAGGTGACAGATAGAAAGACAAGTTCCTTCAAGAAGCTTGAATATTCTAATTTTCTGGTTCTGAGTTAAATTAAGTGTTTCAGATATGAATTAAATTTAAATTTAATTAGCATCCAATTAACATACACTATCAACCAATTAATCACCCAACACCTTCTTCCCCCCGAAAGATACAACAACTATATACGAGATCTGTCAAAATGAAATATAATTAATGGGCTGCAAGGACATGCTTTTGAGAACAGCCCTTCTAATAGGAAATTCTCTTCTTCAGAAGACTTGTTTCTCCTCCTCCCAAGGCAATGATATTCAAGTCATAATTCAACCCCTGGAATTAAGCAGACCCTGTAATTTGGGTTGATTAAGCTCTTTATGCTTTTAAAGGATCGCTGAGGAGAAAACCATGTCAGTTAGCAAGAAGTGGCCTTGGAGTGCACTGGAGGATCTCAAACGGGTAAGTTCTCCAGAGGAAGGAAGGCTCGCCAGGAAAGACAGACACAGTTTTTTTCTCCCTTCTTGGCCAAGCTCTGCTGTATGTCACATCTAGGAAGGGGTGACAATGAGTTTTTCTGTTTCCAGGCAGAACTGGGGGAGGGGAAGTGGGTTTGAGTTTCGGGGAAAAGTGTTGATGTTGAGGACGCTGAACAAATGGACATGTAAAGAAATGTGACCCTCTCTCTCCCCTGGTTTCTGAGATCCGATTGTCATCAACGAGTCTAGACCCAAGCCTACACCCGGCCCCGAGTTCATTTTACATTCATACTGAATTTCTCCATCAGGCATTTATTCACCCAGACATCGTTTTTCCAGTAAGGCCTTCTCTGGTACACTCCTAAAATTAAATCCCCACCCTTCATCCTCCGTCCTGGCTTCCTTTCTCTTCACAGCACTCATCACCACCTAATATTCTCTATCTTTCATGTATTTCCCTTGTTTGTTATCCCACCCGCCCTGCCCCAGTGGACTCTAAACTCTAAGAGGACAGGGATTTTTCTCTGTTTTCTTTGTTGTCTCAACCCCAGGACCTAGGACATTATTTAGCACATGGTAGGGTGCTCAAAAATCATTTATTAAAGTAAGAAATGAATGAATGAATTTTCTTATTATAACAAATCCCATGAGACAGGCAAAGAAAGTCTTATCAGCCTCATTTTGCAGCTGATAACACAGAGGCGAAGGCAGATGGAACACCTTGCTAGAATTAGAGTCCAGGTCTTTAGGTAGTAATTCCAATGCTGCTCCATCCCAGCTGGCAGGGGAGCCCCTCACACCCTGCCCCTCTCCAGGCTGTCCCCGACTGTGCGAGTCCTGGTGATTCAGAACTCAGAGCAGCCCCTGGACTTCAGAGCAGTTCATCCATTTATCCGTGGGGCATTGCCCAGCTCTGTAGTGAGCATTTGACATGCATTGTATCATCGACCTCTCACATATCTCTATGATATGTCATCATTACCTCTTAAAAACCTTTTAACAGATGAGAACACTGAGGCTTAGAGAAATTAAAAAATTTTACCCAAGGTTATACAGCTACTAAGTGGCAAAGGCAGGATTTGAACCCAGGTCTCCCTGGCTATGGAACCTCACATAACCGCTACTGCAAACTACTTCTTAAGTGTCATAATGAAATGGCTTCTGCCCTTGAGAAATTCTCAGTTTAGTCAACTCATTGCCTGCATCATATTTTTGATAGAGATCATTAATAATTAATCATGTCTTACTTTGCGTGACATGATTTGTGTACCTGTTTGAGCTATTTTCCTTTCATATTATCTAATTTTCATGTGTTAAGACTCTTTAGTTATCTTGTAATGGCTTTGCATTCATTCTTTCAAAAAATAACATTCTTTGCATAATACATATTCATTTTAGAAAGATCCAAAAGCATAGAAAATCATAATAATGAAGGTGAAAATCGCCCATAATTCTATCACCCGGCAGTAAGCACTACTTTCAATATTTTGGTATATTTTGTTCTAGTCTACTTGTTTTGTTAGCTTTTCTCCCTGTACAAAACCAGAATGATAATGAATATACTGCTTGTATATATTTTTTATTTAACGTATCATAACCTCTTTATATCATAATAAATATCCTTCTAAAACATTTTTTTAATTGCTGCATTGTGTTGCATAATTTGGATGTACCAAAACTTACGGAATTGTCTCTATTGTCTGAAATACGTGTTTTCAATTTCATTATACTGTATTTTGAACCTTCCATAATTCCAAGCAAAAAGATGATAAATCTTTGATGACTCAACTTTGATCTGTGTCATCCCTTTTTTGGAAGACGTTAAGTGGAAGAGAGCTGTCTGTCTGTGACAATGTAAGCACAATGCTCCTCTGAGGCTGAGCATTTGATTAGATCTGTTAGGGTCCTGTCCAACCTTAAGCTTTATAATAAACAGGTTACAGAGATTCATTTTACACAAAGTTTCAGGCATCTGAGCTCCTATATAATTAGTGTAATTAAACACTCAAATATTTGTTGAGCTAATAATTCAAATCCCAGTTGGATGGGAAGAGAATTCAGGCTTGTAATGAGTGTGATTTTGTCTCTCTCCCTTTGCACCGAAGCCCAGCAAGGCCTTAGCCAAGTTCTTTGCTCCTCCTTTACTGTTTCTAAACTGTCCTGTCTGCGGGTTTTTGTGAATTCTTTTATTTTAAAAAAAGTATTTGTATTTTCACAAAAATAAGAAGAGACTTAGGTATTTGAAGAAACCTAAAATAGCCCAATTAAAATAAAGGCTAAATAGGGCTTGCAAAACAATATAGAATAGGAAGAAACTTAATTGGGCCAGTAATCTGGGATGACATAGTTACTATAATCAAATAAAAATTTATTTCACATTTTCCTTTATGAACTGCTTGCTTGAAAGCTCAGAACTAAATCTGTGTTTAATTATAATGGCCATGTGATCCCAGATTACTGGTACAAATCCACCTTGCTTTTTATATGAAACCATTTTTGAATTCTAAGAGGTATTTATTATGGATACTTACAAAAGATATATCAGGCTACAAAATGGTCTGAGATTTTGAAGATATAAAAATAACTTAAAATTATCTTTTAACCCTTAACAGAACCCAAAGTGAACCACTAAGTTGTAACTCAGTAAAGGGAGTGAAAGCAACACAGTGGGTTTGTGGAGTTCAGAGAGGCTGGTGGATTGGAGAATGAACACAAATCTGTCTCTTCCGACTTGAGAGGTCAGTGTTATTTACCTGTGGTTAGTGCATGTGTTGGACTCTGGCCAACTGAACGCTGAGTTTTTCAGTGATTGATTAAAGGGCCTGTTATATTTACTATTAAAGGGAAAGATATCCATGTGCTCTAGATAATAGATGAATGGAAGTAAAGTTGGCATTCTGTTATGAAAATTAAGATGCATGACTTTGTCTTATCAAAGTGGAAGGCCATTATAGCTTAATGAAATAAGGCAGCTTTGCTATCAACTCATAGGGTAACCTTGAGGGAAGTCCTTAGCATCTCTAAGCTTCCCTTGACCATCTTGTAAAAAGTGGGGCTATCATCAGATGAACACCATTTCCAACCTCTTTCTCTTCAGTCGTTTTTCTGCTGGGGTGGCCATGGGACATAGTTCTCAACAGTAAAACATAGGCATAAATCTTTGAAGTTTCTAGAGAGCTGTCATTTCCTGACATGGGCACTAACTCTTCCCTTTATTTGGAATGCAGATGTGATGGCTGGAGTAGCAGCCATTCTGCCACCTCGAGGGAACAATAGCAAATATTTTAGCATTGACATTATTGAGCCACTCATCCAGCATTAGCAACTGTCTATCTTCAGATTTCATGTTGCGTGGGAAAAAACAAAAAACAAAACAAAAAAACCTCTGTTTATGCCACTAATGTCAGATTACTTATGGCCAAAAGCATTACTGAAATAGTGTCTTATAGGCTAGGAAGGATTAAAT